ACTTGATTAACTCAACCAAAATTTTGACCGATTTGAAGAAAAAGATATCTCAACCAATTTGAATCAGAAATATTTGATTCTTCGCAGTACTGAGTCTCCGCAGATGTCTTCCACAATATTAACTGAACAGTTTTGTTACCATATCAACATACTTGGTTCCAGACCTCCCCAACTATTAAGCCTTATCTTGTCATTATTGGTTCCATTTTGATATTTTCCAGTAATGCCTCATCTGCATCACGTGGCAAGAACATTATGTTTGGCTGAGTTATTGACCTGGTTTAGTTTATTTTTCAAGCTGAAAATCACTAAAATATCGAAAAAAGGTTGGAGGCTACTGAAAAGGAGTGAATGCCATGGAAAAAGAATTTTGTTAGGCTGTGTGTTGCTTGTAGATTCGGTTTACCCGTTTACCAAGTTTCAATGGTCTGTGCGGCAAATTGACCGAGGTAACTCTATTTATACAGTTGATATAATCTGTTGATGGCATAATCGACCTCCCAATTTGCATGACTTAAATATTTCCAGAACTTGTACATTTTTTACCTTTCGTGGAATTCGCTGATACCCCCTAAAGTTGCAAGAGGTAGAAATTTGGTGATACTTAAAACAAAAGAATGTTTCACCGAAGATTCAACATGCTATAAAAGCTATTACTTCGCGGTTATGTTTAATGCGAACTGGAAATTCAACTGTCAGCCGATAAACTGTGTCGGCTGTTAAATTTCCTGTACCCCTACTCTCATATCCTTTTGAAAGACATTTTGTGTTCAACAAATACAACGACATCAACAACAATAAGTTTATTTGCACTAAAACAGAAGAAGCCAAATAACTTTACAAATCCTAATCCTAATCCTGAAGGCTGGTAACAGGACAATTATTTCGATGAACGTGAACGTGATAAGTGATAGTAAAACCTAGACAAGTATAATTAAACATCAAAAAAGATGTATTTATTTCTCACAAATTATTTTCATTATATTTGTAATTCTTTTCTTTAACTTATTTCTCTCAACGCATTATTCACTTACAACATTGATCGTGAGAAGTACAACTGATGACATGCGAAAACAAAATGAAATGTTGAATCTATAAGTTTAATTCAATTTAACAAAACAGTCAAGCTCTACAGAGCGAGAGATTAATTAAAGTACAACTTTCAAAATTTTGTTGACAGAAAATCTTTTCCAGTTTTACTGAATACGCTCTATACAGGTAGAAAACTTTTGTTTTAGAATAAAAGTTCTAAAATGACAGCTACAAACTTGACGCAAAATGAATCTTATTTATTTGAGACAAATCTAATAATATTATTAATAATTTCCACTTCAATATATTTCTTTATGTCACATTCAAAAGGTATTGATATGACATGTTTCTTTTAACTTCAACTGGACCTTAAGCCATTGACTATTGGTCTTATTCAAACTGATTACTTTATTGCGTTTTTCTTTTCTTTTATCAATAAATGGCCAAAGTCTATTATTACTACACTGAACATAATTTATGTAAAAAACAATTACCATTATTTTCAAACAGTCCCTGGGTTACATCAGACCATGAGACTGAAGGGGTAACAACATGAAGAAAGCAAAACCTTCCAGACTTTCAGTGACAAGAAATCAATTCTCATCAAAAATTGACCATCGTCAGACTAGTCAAATGGACGGCAGGGAATAAACATTGTAAATTGGTTCAATTTCTTTCACATAACACACTTAACATTGACCACAACAAGAGGTCGTTACACTGTCAATAGGGAGCTTAAGCAAACCACGACGACGACGGCTACGAGAACGTCACCAAACAAAAGGTTTAATGAGCAAAACAATAGCTGTGCACGTGCGTTATAAATCTTNTGTCAATAGGGAGCTTAAGCAAACCACGACGACGACGGCTACGAGAACGTCACCAAACAAAAGGTTTAATGAGCAAAACAATAGCTGTGCACGTGCGTTATAAATCTTTGTACATTTCTTGACCATCTTCTGCAAAACAAAAGCGTGAAATGACCAAGTTCTACGTCGTCTACAGAACGTTGGATGACGACGGCTAATTTTTCGTATTTCCATTTGGAATTGAACGGTGTCGTTGTATATTTAGCCTGAGCGCGTTTTTAGAGCCATTGGCGTTCTGAACAGATCTAGACAATCGTGAATTGCGCTTGTAAAATATAAATTCATTTTTTACTAGGTGTCGTCCTCGGTCTCGTCGTCGTCGTCGTTGCTTAAGCTCCCTAACAAAGCTGCAGCAACCTCAACATAAAATCCCCTGCTTTGAATTCCAAGTGCACGCGCTTTATTTCCTGTGTTTCCCTAACTTGTGAAAACATGAACAGAGTGAATTGAATAGGTCATTATTTTCACTCCGAATAAACACACGAGTAAGTAAATGTAACAAAATAAGAAGTTGTAAAAAACCTACATCCTGTTTGTACTTTCACTGAAAGCCGCCGTAACCTTTTTCTACTTTTAAGGTCAGTGCTGCTCAAGTTCAAGATAAATTCAGAAATATCTTTTGCAGGTCTACATGACAAGTATAATTAAGCTTATTTAAGGGTGCTGGAGAAATAGAGGATTATGATAGCCTCTGACTCAAATTAAGATTAAACTTTTTTAGTCACAGAATCAAACCTCAAGTCACTCAGGTCAACTAATGCAGTTGTATTGAAATTTATACTTCTACGGATCATGTAGTGTGGGAGCATTCAAATGAAAGCTATTGAGCAGTGCTCTCACGTGGTACTGTTTGTTACGCTGCACAAGGTGGTTCTAGCTTTGGAGTCTATGGATGAAGCCCTGGTGTAGGACCATTTAAATGAAAGCTATTGAGCAGTACTTTCGTGTGGTACTGTTTGTTGTGCTGTACAAGGTGGTTCTAGCTTTGGAGTCTGTGGATGAAACCGTAGTGTGTGACCATTCAAATGAAAGCTATTGAGCAGTGCTCTCATGTGGTGCGGTTTGTTATGCTGTACAAGGTTGTTCTAGCTTCGGAGTCTGTGGATGAAACCTTAGTGACCATTAAAATGAATGCTATTGAGCGGTGCTCTCATGTGGTACGGTTTGTTATGCTGTACAAGGTTGTTCTAGCTTTGGAGTCTGTGGATGAAACCTTAGTGTGTAACCACTCAAATAAAAGCTATTGAGCAGCACTCTCAGGTAGCACTGTTTGTTATGCTGTACAAGGTGGTCCTAACTTTTATTTCAGGAGATGAAACCTTAGTGTGTGGCACTAAACTGAAAGCCACAGTTTGATTCTGCCACGTGATGCTGTCTTTTCATGCTATGCAAAAGAGGTTGGAACTCTTTACGGCTTTGGATGAAACCCAAGCATGTGGCCATTCAAATTAAAACTATTAAGTTTTTACGTGTTATGATGCTTTTCTTTTAAAACTAAAATTAATATGGGAGCATTCATCAAAAGTGTACTTGGGCACCATCGGGAGTAAAAGTACTGCAAGGTTCACGTTCTAGTTGACATCGCGCCCAATCCAAGGTCTCCTTCCCTCATGTGGTCACTTGGCTCATTACTGACGATACTGTCGCTAGGCGGTCTGACCATCACTCCACCAGTGAAGGACAGTTCACCATTTATGTTGATCATATCTTCATCGCTATCTGCTGCTACAGTTTCCCCCTGTGTGAAATGAAACCCGTACGCATTACATTACGGTGGAGCAAACAAAAGTCTTTAACAGGGTATCTGCAGTCATAATTTCCCATACAAAATTCAAATATTATGTGCACTTTTCTTCCAAACCTCGTTTTTTTTTTTTTTTTTTTTTCTCGTTGTTCCAGGCTCGAAGATATTAAGCTGCTTCGTACAAAATTACCAACCATTTTGGCAAAAAACAGTATCTTCTTGTGCTGTTTTCCTGACTTCAAAGTCTGATGAGCGCAATGTTATCAAAATCCGGCGAGCTAACAACAATTTCACTTAAAAACTACAAATGTGTTACATCTTAGAAAATAAAATCAGAATTTAAACGAACCTCTTTCAAGATTTAGAAAACTTGTCAAATGAGAAAGAGCCAACACTAGAAAAGTTGTTTAGTGTTTGTTTAGCTATCAAACCTGCTGTACCTTTGGTTCAGGTGTTCTCGATAGACATCTGGCTAGAGGACCACAACAATCTGGCAACGTTTGTGTCAGTGGTTGACCATAGTTGGTAAAAATAGGCTTCATAAATGTGACATTTGTCAAGGAAATGAACGTTAAGTAGTTTCATCATGGTGTACATTTACATTGATTTCATTTCATTGCTTCACGCTTAATAGTAGGCACATTACCTCAAGATAATGTTAACAGTAGCTCTTTCTTTCTAAATAACAATTAGATTATGAGTTCGAGATTTCTATCGCGTGATAGTTGATGAGGTCGCAGAAGGGTTCATGTATCTCAGTCTGGGGCCAGTTCAAAAATGTCTTAAGGCTGCCGCACACCAGCCGATTTCTTGTCGTGGAACTGCAGATTTTTTGTCGGGATCAAATCGGGTTAAAATTTATCGGGCCATCAGCTTGCCGCACACTAGCCGATTTTTTGTCGCTTCTAATCGCGTTGAGGCTTGGGCCCGAGCTATCCAAAATCAAGATGGCGCCTGATTTGTTGAGGCGCGCGAGAGCCCCGACAAATTGTCTTGGTCCACCACACACTAGCCGACAAGGCCCGAAAAGACGTTTTGAGATCTAGCACTGTCAGATATCGCCCGGCAAGCCCTGATCTTGTCGCAGACTTGTCTGAATTCACCGCACACTAGCCGACAACTGAAGATTTTTTTGTCAGCCGACAAAAAAATCGCTAGTGTGCGGCGGCCTTTAGATACAGGAACACAGTGTTAAGGCACTTAAAAGCTCCAATGACACAATTGCCAGCCTGTGTATCACAGTTGTACATGTAGCATTGATCCATCAAACCACATGAACTATGAAGATTTTTCTACGAATAACGCAGCTCTGTGTTAGCTAGCACTGTTCTTACTACGTTCATCCAACCACATTACTTTTGAAAGGATATTTGACATCAAAGTCATACCACTTTCTAAAAATCCACGCCCTTTCATAATGAGACTGCCTGGATCTAAGGGTACCATCTTCGTCCTAGAAACAAAACAATCATACATATATACAGTTTAGTTTTTACAACGCCGTACGCAACTTGAGGTTAAGGGAAAAAGTAGCTGCTTAACAGGATAGATGAATTTTTACTCGTTTGTCTCACGATGGAGTCACTTTACGATGTAGATCTCCATCGCGAGACAAACGAGTAAAAATTCATCTATCCTATCTTACACCACGATGAATAGTAGACACATCTTCAATAACTGCTTAATGTTGACAAGCGTGAGTTGAATGCCAAGGTAGATTATACTGAAGACAGATTATGAGAATGCATAACAGATTATGCAAACAGATTATACGTTGATCAAAATGAATAAAACAGCAAAGGGGTGACTTTGTAACAGTTTAAGTGTTAGCATTAAACATTTGACTTCTACGGTGCCTTTCTTCCTATATTAACAAATATAAACCAGCTGTCTCTAAATCATTCATCATTTTCAAAGGGTATTGATCGCTATATTTTCATAACTAANAATATGAGCCATTCTAGTGAATCACACAGACGGTAAATTTTACTTGGCATGAGGTACCGGTAATTGTGTAAAAAGTTTGAAATTTAAGAAGTTGCATGTGACGTCAGTCACGCAACGCAGCGCAAACAAAGCTATTAGTCACGAGCATAAGATTGACAAGCAACATCTGACATCTGAGCAACTAACAGTACTGAGGACCCACGAATTGAATTCAAATCCGTGTTGTACGGCTTTTTACATGTAGCTTTAAAAGGAAAATTGCGAGGCAAGTTGTAAGTAAAATTGTCCTGTGCAACAGCAGCTTTACTGCAACCTACGTACTTTCACAATCCAGATCCATAAACTGTGAATCTCACCTTATTTTTAGAAAAGAGAGCACTGACATAGTAGCACCTCCATTAACTATAACAGTTACTAAAACGACGATCAGCACTGAGGTCAGCATCATTTGACGAGGAACTGACGCTGTATTGCGCATGGCCAGAGCAAAGGCCACAGCACCTCGCAAGCCTAGCATAACAGACAAAACAAAATGGTGAACAATATCGCAATCATTGAAGTAAGATTCTACACTCAAGCCAAAGGAGCCCACACCATCAGAACTTACTGCAACAGGTTATTAATTCTTCAACCGAATGTTGACATCCCACTAAGAGATTTAGCCTGTCATGGAGGACATTACAAGGGAATATTATTAAAAACGCTTTAAGGTCATTTGCATTTCAAAAGATTCAATACACAGGCTCTTATTGCAAGCTAGTTCTAGTTCAATTCGAGACTATGAAAATAGCGTATTTTAGTGGCACAATTCGCCACTTCAGAAACCAGAAGAAATCTGGAGTCTCATCTTGCAGTGGCTTGTGGGATCGTTACTGGGTACAATATAGCTGCATGTGCCAGCTACATGTCTTTTGTTTTGTCGCCAGTGGCAGGCCCATAAACCGCTGCGAGATGAGACTTGCCCCAGGTTTCTTCGCGTTTCAAAAGTGGCGAATTGCCACTATTGGATGTAACGTTACAGCTGGTCCACTGCACTTCACCGCAAGCTTTTTGTATACTTCTCTGTCCAAATTTATTGTCGGTACATATTATTTTATACTACTGAGTGAAGCAGAAAGCGAAAGCGTGGAGTATTTTTCCCAAGAACATGACTGAAGAAGTAACGAGCCCACAGTACTTTCTTTGTGCTACACTAAGACTGTTCTTTTCCAACTGACCTGCAAAGACCATCATGTGCTGAAATCTGTAGCTAATCTTCCTATGCCTTCCCAAATTCAGTAAAAATGACAATGGATAAATGTTAAAAAGTCTTCCTAAGGTCATGGCGAGCTGAAGATGAAACAGTTAAGAAGCAATAGCCAATAGTAATCTTTATACCGGCCTGGTTAATATCGCATACACTACATACATACAAATCCTTTATTAACAGTGTCTGGTCGTTCTAGCGCCAACGGCACGAATTAGGGAAGCAGATAATAAAATATAACATTGTTACCAATTATTTCAAAAACTTAAAACTTAAAACCTTAAAATCATAACTTACAGCATTGTTCTTAAAACTACCTCAAATACAAAATTATTTACAATTATTAATAATATTTTTTATACAGTGAGAACTAAGTTGAGCATAATTTACAATCCCTCCCACATCCCTATAAAACAGCTGACATATCCTTTTTCGTATCATGATTCTAAAAGCTGACAAAGATTTGATGTTCCTTTCCTGTTTAATTAGTTTCGCTCATAGTGATGGCCCTAAGTACCTGATAGAGCGTTTCCCATTAGTGACCGTATGTAGCCATTTTCATTCTTTACTACATCATTTATAGGACTGAATTTGCTTTTTCTCAACTTTTTCTTCTCACATGACGTTATGACATCATATTTTAGGAAACATTTTGTGTTGAAGGTTTGAAGCACTTTAGACTAGCCAAGGGCATTTGGATCTATTGTCAAAATTTCTTTGACTTTTGACTGAGAGTGCTTACTGTAGTTTATCCTGTTTAACCTTCAGTTGGTACAGTGCACATTTATAAGCATGTACAACGTAACAGTAATTTTGGGGAATTATCTCTGGAAAACATCAATTTTGAAGTCACAACTCTTTTACACTTTTAATGGAGCATAAATATTATTATTAATATCCCTTTAAATAACTTTTTTTTCCTCTCATCAAATGACAAACAGAGAACTGACCACAACTGGAAAGTGCATTCTAACTCATTTGTCGTTGTCAATTGGTCTTTTGTTACCCTGGGTGCCAGGTCTTTTTTTGGGGGGCGAAGTTGCGATTGCGAGCGGTGAAGCCGCGATCGAGATCATAGCTAACCGATCTTGATCATGGCTTCGCCACAAAAACAAAAAACCCTCTGGCACCCAGGGTAGTCTTTTGTGGACACAGAAGGCCATATCTACATGTACAGTGTAGAAGTTACATACTCGCAAGACATAGTTTGGAAAACTATGGAGAGAGACTGGTATTTTGAATGTGAAAACAGGTTATTGTAATTAACAGAAAAATCAATTATTAAAAGTATAAGCCATTTTTTTTTCCAAATTAAGCTGTATAAATGTATTTGGGACTCTTAATTGGTGACGATGATTAAAACTATTCATCAACTACTATAATTAACTGAATATTAATATTGGTTGGGTTAAGGATACAAATGTCCATGCTATAAAACCAATATTCCACTGGTGATGTTGAAATGTGAAGAGTGATAATCCCATGTATGAAAATATAAAGCTCTCTGCTAGAAAATTTAATAGTCCAAATGTCTGCAAAGAGATGTATTTAAAATCAAGGCTACTGTTAAACTGTAACGAATTGATTCTGCACCACTCTTCCAGAGTGTACCCCTCCCCACAAGCGAAATGAAATAAATTAAAGTACCTCCCCTGGAAGGTGTTTTACTAATAAATAGTAATAAGCATGCCTGCTTGAAAAAAAATGCCCCTTCTGCTTCCAAATTGCATTATTAGGGGACAGTGGACTAAGTTGGCATGAACTATACCTAGTTAAGTTGTTATTTAATCAGCAGAAAACGGTTTCGTGATTCATTTTATCGTTTTAATTTAACTCCATTAGTGGGAGAAAAGATTTGATCATTACTTCACAGGCTGTAAAAGGAAGTACTTCTCTGTGCCTTTAAACATATACCTTTTACAGTACGTTGCACACACAGTACAGCTATACAGATTGAATGCGATTGCATCCACAAAGTGTTCTGTTTTGCAGACTCTTTTATCAGAAGTTGCTCAATAAAAATACACACCACTGCAGGTCTTCTTGCTAATTTTGTTAGAGCTATACTGTTTCAATTGAGATATTTCTCTGTACAGTGTTGTACTTTGTGAAAAGAGCTACTTAGACTAGTTA